ACTGAAAATGATACATGCTGTGTCCTGTCACCAAGCTTCCCTGAGTCACCTAATCTGGCACGTGATATGCGATCCATGGAATATTATGCAGGTAGCACCTTCTCAGTCTCCACGTCTGGCCGGACTAGAAGAATGGCCTGCTCCATTCAGCAGAGCTGCTCAGGAAGCCTGCCAGCAATGGAGCTGCCTAATTACATGCAGCAATGTCTGCTACGAAGCCTGTCATTGTACCCAATCACCTGGGCTCAATCTATAATGAGAGTCTAATTACTGCAGGCCACTGACTGCTCCAAACAGAGGCAGGAGTGTTGGTTTGGAAGTTTCCATAAAAGCTTTTGCCATTCTGGGACTCGGTGAGAACTGTTTATCTTGGAGAAGCTCTGTAAGCCACAGCCACCCAGAGCTAATTTAGACTTGTCTGGCTTCAGCCTGGGGTGACATAACCTGCTTGCATTTGTCTCATGTTCAATAAATTGGTCCATTTTCTCAGGCATTTCTTTCTCCCTTATTCATCACTTGCTCAAAAGTTTGGACACTGAGTGCCAGATGCTCTTCTCCCTGTGGTGTATCTAAGACAGTGGTCCCCAACCGGTCAATCAGGTAGCCTCTTTTAGTCTATCCTGAGTTGGGGGTGCTGGGCGCATGGATGCATGCGCGAACACCCACCACCCTCCGGCCCAGCAGGTCAGTCTGTGGATGAGAAGGGACAGGGGCTAGATCGATGCCCCCACGGTGAGGGAGGGTCAGTGAGGCCCAGCCAGGAGCAGGAGAAGGTAAGTGGGGCCCAGCCTGGCTGGGTTGTGAGAGGATTGGAGCCTGGGGAGGCCATCAGGGGAGGGGCTCCCACCACTGGGCGCACCCCAGCAGAGACCCTGGGGGCACGTCCCCCCCCCATCTCTGCCTGGGGCAGAGGTGGCGGAGGTGCCCCATCTCTGCCTGGGGCAGGGGTGGCGGAGGTGGCTGCTGCTGTGCCTCGAGCCCCGCTGCAGCTGGCCACATGCAGGCATGGCACAGCCCCCCAGTGGGACACACATGGCGTCTGGCCACTCTCGGACCAGCTGCAGTGGGGCTCAGGGTGCAAAGCCCAGCCCTCAATGGCAGTTTCCTCCACCGCGCACAGATTGGGGGTGCAGCAGCTGCAGCAGCAGTGTGGGAGGGAATGGGGCTGGAATAGTGGCAGACCCTGCGGCTGCGGCAGGGCGGGATGGAGCCGTGGGGAGGGGGAGGCATGCAACCCAGGAGGGCACGGGGGTAGCATGTGCCCGGATCTGCACACGGGGCAGGGAAGGCTGCAGCTGCAGGCTGCGGCCAGGCTGATCCCAGAAGGGTGGACGGCTTGTGCTGCGCTTGGGCCAGGCAGTGGTGGCAGCGCTAGAAGCAGGGCTACAGGGGAGCTGCAGCCACCCAAAAATTCACCGTAGTCCCCGCAACCCCTGCTCCCAGCACCACGACCACCCCCCCCGACTGTAGCATGGCTCAGCCTCTGCCAGGAACAACCCGGTGCAGTCTCCCAGCCCCAGCCCACAGCACCAGCTGCCCCGCCCTGTGCAGATCCTGGGCACACAGACCCCATGCCCTTGGGGGGGGTGGGCAGGGGGAGGGGAAGACTGTACCGGGCTGTTCCTGGGCTGCGGGCTGGGCTATTCCTGGAGGGGGGGTGCTGAGCCCTGCTGCACTCGGGGTGGGCAGCGACAGTGCTGGGAGCAGGGGTTGGGGGGGCTACAGCGAATTTTTGGAAGGCTGCTGCCCCCCTGTGGCCCTGTTCCCAGCACTGCTGCTGCTGCCACCCAGCCCAAGCACAGCACGGCCCAGGCCCCCCCCCGGGAATAGCCCAGCCCCAACCCACAGCTGCAGCCCACCCTGCCCCGCCCTGCATGCAGATCCAGGGGCACGCATCCCCCATGTCCTCCTGGGGTGTGTGCCTCCCCCTCCCCACACCCCCAGGCGAGCTGCTCGCAGCTCCATCCCACCCTGCCCCAGCTGCAAAGCCTGCCCCTGCTCCAGCCTCGTTCCCTCCCTCATTGCCATTGGTGGGGGGCAGATCGAGGTCCCAGCAGTGAGGCAGGGAATGGGGCTGGGGCCAGGGCCTTGAACTGCCCCCCCCCCCAGGCCCTTTTCCCTCCTGCCTGCCCCTTCCCCCACAGACTTACTTGCTGGGTAGGCGTGCCCCAAATAATTTTTTCTCCCTCTGCCTCAATCTGTCCCCCCTTTCTCTCCCCACAGACTTACCTGCTGGGCGGGGGGGAGAGGTGGCGCAGTAGATCTTGGGTTGCTTTTAAATTCCAAAAGTGATCTCCTACTTAAAAAGGTTGGAGATCACTGATTAGGATGGCCATCATAGAGGACATTTCGGTTTTCTGCTACTCTTCAAGAAAACTAGGGGACATAAAGGCATCCGGTTTTGTATCAATAGGACAGAGGACAATTGGCCTGTCCTCTATGATGACCACCCTACCACTTACCTAAGAGGACATAGGCTACTCTCCTGCCAGTAGTGCAATTCTATTCCAACCTGCCTGAATCCCTGAAAAACTGGAGCCTTCTCTTCTTCACTGCTTTCTTAAGTCGTAAGGGAAAAATGACAGCACATTACAAAAGCAAACCACTTGCAGGGACTCAAACAAAGTGGAATAGACTCATATGGGCCATTTAGATAACTAATAGGTAGAACAGGATTCAGTCCCTGGTTCTTGTGCTCTCTCCCCCCTCCCTCTAGGACCCTCCCCAAAAGATCTTTAATTGTGGCATCCAGGTAAGCATCAGCACCTATAGCTTTCAGATAGAACATAGGGCAAAGAGAAGTGGGGCCTTTACTGACTCATTCTGCCTTGCAGAAGAGCATCAAAATATGAATTACTCCAGAGCTTAGGCAGACAAGGTTCTTTGGGTGAATCTGATATCTTTTATTAGACCAATTTAAATAGCTGGAGAACAATTTTTAAGCAAGCTTTCAGGTTCAAAAACCCTTCATCAGGCTAAGGAAGTTTCAGCAGCTGGTGTGTGCTCTTCCAGGATGCAATGAAAAGTAAAGAAGCCAGCGGCTGGGCTGGTATGCATGCAAGACAGGCAGTCAGTGAAAATGTAGACTGAGGAGTCAATGGGTGAGAGACAGGCTGGGTCAGGAGGAGAGAAAAGGGGAATGAATAGCGGAGAAGTACCTGGGAAGTTAGCTGTCAGGCAGGTGTCATAAATCCAATGTCTATATTTAGTCCATGATTTTTAGTATCCAGGAGGTCCACTATTCAGGCAGGGGCAATCAGGGTGGTCAGGCACCCTGGAGACCAGCACCTGCAGGTAAGTGGGAGGTGGGGAATTGGGGCTCCCATAGGGAGGGAAGGAGTTGGACAGGGCTGAGGCTGCTGCCCAGCTGAGGGGGCACGGGGCTAAACTGCATGGCCACAGGGCCCCAGCAGAAAGTGGGATGGGGCTGAGGGCAGCTCGTCTAGGGGGCGGGGGGCTAGCTCCCTGCTACTGCGCGCACTTTCAGGGAGGCGGGGGGGGACCTGTGCCCCCCAGATCTGTGTGTGGGGCAAGGGTGGGCACAGGCTGCCTGCTGAATGAATAGCGGAGAAGTACCTGGGAAGTTAGCTGTCAGGCAGGTGTCATAAATCCAATGTCTATATTTAGTCCATGATTTTTAGTATCCAGGAGGTCCACTATTCAGGCAGGGGCAATCAGGGTGGTCAGGCACCCTGGAGACCAGCACCTGCAGGTAAGTGGGAGGTGGGGAATTGGGGCTCCCATAGGGAGGGAAGGAGTTGGACAGGGCTGAGGCTGCTGCCCAGCTGAGGGGGCACGGGGCTAAACTGCATGGCCACAGGGCCCCAGCAGAAAGTGGGATGGGGCTGAGGGCAGCTCGTCTAGGGGGCGGGGGGCTAGCTCCCTGCTACTGCGCGCACTTTCAGGGAGGCGGGGGGGGACCTGTGCCCCCCAGATCTGTGTGTGGGGCAAGGGTGGGCACAGGCTGCCTGCTGTGGGCTTGGACTCCCCACCCCACTGACCTCTCTTGGGGCCTCCACAGCCCAGTGGGTGCAACCCAGTGCTACAGGGCAGAGCAGGGCCACATGGGGAAACTCCTTGCTGCTGCGAGCTCTATGTTACCCTGGTGAGACGCCCCCTGCCCACACAGCAGCAGTGGGGGCAGCCACACGGGGTTGTGCCTTTCGCTGCTGCCACTTGCTGGGGCAGTGCAGAGCTCACAGCAAGGAGCTTCCCCACGTGGCCCTGCTCTACTGGATCAAACCTGCTGGGCCATGGAGGCCCTGGGGGGAGGGCAGCAGTGCGAGGAGCCCAAGCCCGTAGCAGACAGCCTGCACCTGCCCCACGCCCAGATCTGGGAGGCACGGGTCTCCCTGGGAGTGCGCACAGTGGTGGGGAGCCGGCCCCACGCCCCTGAGCTTGCAGCAGGCAGGCGGCAGACAGCAGGAGGGAGCTGGGATCCATGCTCTGCTCCACTGCAGCAGCCGTTATCTCCTGTGGGCAGCAGCTGCAGGGGGCACTGCTGCAGGGCACTGCTGTGGGCACTGCTGCAGGGGGCAGGGAGCTGCGGACCTGGGTCTCTGGCCCTGTAGCCCTGGCAGCTGGGGGCCCCTCCAGCAGTGCAATAACGGCAGGGAGCCCGGAGGAGTATTCCTCAGGAAAGATGGCACTGCACACCCTGGGCTCATACAACTGTTCCTCTGCAATAACGGCAGGAACCCTGGAGGAGTATTCCTCAGGAAAGATGGCACTGCACACCCTGGGCTCATACAACTGTTCCTCATTAGGAGGCTGCCTCTCTGCACTGGATCCAATTTTCCCTTCAGCCCACACACTCTCCAGGTTGTGCTGCTTTTTATTATTGCAGTTTACTAACATCACAAGTGAGAGGCTATAAAACACCAGAGTGGGGGAGCTCCCTTAAGCGGCTGGGAATGTCTTCCCAGCCCCTGAAGTTTTGACCAGGCTCAGCTAGTGCTGGGACCTTTGACTGTCAGATAACTTCATAAAGCCTCCATTACCTGAGCCCTTTATGATCCTTGACATCATTGGCAATGCGTAGGGGGGCATGCGGATACACGTACACCCCCTGAATGTGGCAGTGCACCCCCGATGAAAAGGCGCCGCCAACATTGTTGGCAGCGCCTGTGGGCGGTCACCACTCACCCCCCGACCCAACACCACCAGTGGCATCTGCGGGTGGTCAGCGATCCCCACTGGCAGCGTCTGCGGGTGGTCATCAACCCCGGTCGGTGCTTGCCCCCCACATCCCTGCTGCTGACAGCACCGGCGGCATCTGCGGGAACTCCCGTTTACCGCCGCCACGCTCCCACCACTGCCACCTCACTCCTGCTGCCGCCATGCCCCCCCTCCCCCCCCAGCTGCCGGGGGCACACATAGTTCATGCTTGACATATTTACTCCCACTTGTAGTACGAGACCAGCCGCACTCTATGGGCCACAACCCTGATGTGCAGGCACATGTGGTTTGTGTCGCCACAAACTGCATGTGTTGCATGTTAAGCTGTGCATGGCGCTGCTAATTAGCAGTGCTAGAGCAAAATTTGCTACCAGGATTTGCACACAGAGACAGGGGAGCAGCCGGCACAAGGAGCTGCCTGCTCCTCACCTCGAGGCACACTGTGCCCCAGCCAGCCAGGGAGCAGCTGGCGGGGGTGCAGGGTGCTTCAGCGCAGGGGCTTCACAGTGTGCGAAGATGGAAAAGCTGGCAACCCTGGGCGGCCTGCTCCACTGTCTCCACGTGCTGCTCTCTGGCTGGCTGGGGCACAAGGTGCCTCAGTGTGGGGGCTGTCTGCCGGCTAACCCTGCATTGAGGCATCCTGTGTCCCAGCCAGCCCCCCTTGAAGTACATGGAGCAAGCTGACATAAGGATTGAGGAGCTAAGGTAGCACTGCTGTCTCTTGACAGTGGGTACCATGAAGTACTCCCCGCCCACTCATCCCTGCTCTGCACACACCAGCTCCCAAAAATGAGACCCTACAGTGCTCTCAGGCTGCCCGTCTTAGGGTTATGTCATGCAGACCAGAAAAGATGAGAGTTAGGAAAGCAGGTGTCAGAGTAGTGCTCCTGGGCCTGTCATAGAAATAGCATAGGGTGCCTATCTACATGCAGGGATGCTGCTCCGACATACTATAATTACAGTGCGTCAGAGCAGACTCAAATAATTACTAATTAGCGCACTCCAGCAGCTTCCATGTCTCATGTATCAGCTTCCCCACACTTCAAAGTGGTGGCAGGGGCACTTTGAAGTGTGTCGAATGAGCTTTAGTCCAAGCGCCCCCACCATCTTAAAGCGTGGGGATGCTGATACACGAGACGCTGCAGGCACTTTAATTAGAATGGCTCTTGGAGCCACTCTAACTAATTGTGCACCCTGCCCCCGGAGCCCGTGTGTAGATGCCCATAGGCATACACTGAAGCACATTGAGGATAAGTGGAGGTATGGGCTGGAGCAGAGGAATCAGAACCAGCTCTCCCAAATCCCTGACTAGCACCCTCACTCTGGACCATCCTACCTCCCAGATGCGTCTCATCAATCGCATGTTTATTGAACTTCCTATTTCCTTCCATTAGGTTCTGGGGAGGCAAGGCTGTGCCGCTTGCACTGGTATTAAGTATTGCTGTTATTTGTATCCCTCCAGCACCACCGATCCCATGAGGGAGGTGTGGGGTGAAGTAGACCGGGCCTCTGGAGATCTGAGTTCAGTTACTGGCTCATATCAACTTCTGAGGGTGTCATTTCCCCCATCAGGGGCCACAGCTTCCTGGTCCGTGGAATGGGGGCTGCCTCCCAGGCAGCTGTTAAGGCTCAGTGCTTCAATAACTGCAGCGTACTTGTATAGCACAGTACTGATGGCCAGGTATATGCCTCAAACCCTTTGGGGTTGTGTACGCACTCCTGTGGGGCCCAGTAGCAGGTTCTTGCTACAGGGGCGGCTGCAACACCCCCTGATGGCCATGCAATTCCTGCCCTGGCTCTAGGTCTTTGATGTTAAACTAAATGAGAAGGGAGACTGCCTGAGGGTCTTTGAACAAGCCTGTTTTTGTTCCTGTGTTGGGCTTCACCCTTCTTGACTTCTGTCACTTTCCTTTCACCGAGCCTTCTAGCTCTACCTCACTCACCAAACCAAGCTTCAGGGTTCCCAGCTTCCTGTCTCTGCCCCTCTCAGGCGCTGAGCCCTCCAGCCCCAGTCCTTGCCCTTCTCAGGCTGCAGGCCTTCTGGCCCCTAAATTCAATCCATCTGGCATGGTTAACAGACACCCCGACACTTGCCCCTTCTGTGGGCAGAGGGAGACCCTGGCATATGCCTACCTGGAGTGCACCAGGCTGCAGCCCCTGCCCCTCCTCCTCTGGACCCTTCTATTGAGGTTCTGGCTGTACTATTCCCCGCATCTTTTGATTTATGCACTCCTCATCCATAGCCCCACCAAGGCCCAGGATCTCCTGTTCAACCCTCTCCTGGCCCTGACCAAGCTGGCCGTGTGCCTGACCAGGAAGGAGGCTCTGGCTGGCAGGGTCCCCAGGATGCTTTCCTTGCCTTGATTCGCTCCCATCCCTGAGCAGAGTATCACTGGGCATTGTCCACTGGTTCCTTGGACTCGTTTGAGTTGTGTGCTCTGCTCTGTATCCCCACTTGGCACACTTGTTTTGAACCTCTGACCATCACTCCCATCACTGTTTTTTCATTCTTTGCCCCACAAACTCTGCTGTCCCCTTTTCCTGCAGCCTTTCCACCTAAAGGAAGCCAATGAGAGACTTGGTGGGTTGGGCCCATGTTTTTAGAGGTGGATAAATAGGCCTAAATTCAATCTTGCCCATCCTGGGCTCCAGGCCCACTGGCCCTGAAGCTCTGCCTTGCTCTGGGCACTAGGCTTCCTTGCCTCAAACCCTGCCCTTCCCTAGGCTTGCTGCTCCCTCACTATGCCTTGAGCCTGCCCCCAGCAGGGCTCTGGGCAATCATGTGCCCCTAGGGCAGTGACTGCGGCTCCTGCTAGCATGCATGCACCCCAAAACTTCTGGTCTGTGGAATGGAGGAAAATTCACTCTTCAGTAGCCCCTAGTAGCTTCTGTCCCTCCCCAAACCAACCTAGCTCCCCTTATACCCCTCCTCATGACATCACCCTGTCCTTGTCCACTCAGGGAGTGTCACACTCCAGTCCTTCTGTTCACTAATCTACCTGAAAAATCTTTGCTCCCCCTGGCCAATTAGGCCAGAGGATTTTATATATTTTGCCCAGATACAAGGCCCCAGCTTTCCATGTGGAGAGCACATGGCCAGAACAACAGAGGCCATCTTGCCCACATAAAACAAACACACACAAACACAATACACAACAATCAAAAGCACACACTTTGCCATACACAATCCAAGTGTGTGTGGGTATTACATATGTAACAGCTGCAAAGCTCACCTGACTGCAAGCCAAGTTGGTGAGCTGTGCTTAAGAGCTCTGCAAGAAAAGGGCAGCACAACTTTGCAGAGGGTGAATAAGCTTTACCAGACAGGAGGGTATGCAGTGCATGGTGCATGCTTCTCATTGGAGCATTTAAATTGTGACCAAAGCCCACACTGGAAACCAGGGGCTCTAATTGGTTGCTACTGAGCCATAAAAGCTGAGGAAGGGAAAAGAAAAAAGGAAGAAGAGAAGCTCCCAGGAGGGAAAGGAGGAGTAGACTTTAGCCCTGGAGAGAGGTGGGGGTAGATTCAGCCTAAGCCAGGGTAGACCAAGCTGAAACTTGCCCAGGAAGCAGGTACCAAGATGGGGGAGAGCCTGTGTCATCATGTGAGAAGCTGATTCCCCACTGGGTTTGGAGCTGTGCAACCACGGACACAGGTGCCAGGGAAAAAGCAAGGCTGGTAGGCTTGCTGGGGCTGGAAGAAACAGCAGAGCCTTTAAAGGCTGTGAGTTGTGTCTGACTGAGACACTGGGTGAAATCCGAGCTGGGAAGGCTCAAGCCACATAGTCAGAGACCTGCAGAGGGAAACCCCTGTCTGTGGCTAGATGTGCTGGGAGGTAGAAACAGCCCTGAGAGGAAGTGGGCTGAGAGAAAACAACCCAGCATGGATGTGTGAGACACACCTAACCACTAGTGTTTGCAGTAAGTGTATTTTCAGAAGGAAACTGCTTAAGAGAACAATCTGCCAGTAAAGGAAACAAATGGAGCTTACTGCCTGCAGGAGCTGTTCTGAGCTTGTTTCATTGTGTTACCAGAAATGATTAAAAAAGCCCACTTTTACAGGAGCAGCAGAAGCCTCGCCTCCGCCATCTAGTGGTGGATCATAGTTAGAGTTGTGTTGCTATTTAGTATTATGGAAAGTGGACTTGTGACCAGAAGGAAATCAATTGCGTTATGGAGGAAACTGTTTTAAATGGTTATAATGAGGTGAATTTAGTTATTTAGGTTGTTTATCACAAGTGGGACCATCCAGTGTGCTGGAATTATCCACCTGGTTTTGTAGCTGTAAATTTTATCTAAATTATTAGTTCTCTAACTATTGCTATTATATTTTGCGGGGGGGGGGGTTTTGTATATAGATTGGTTGTGTCTAATAAAGAATAACATGTTCATTGGGTTCAGAGTGAATTCCTGGATGGTGAGGGACACACCTCTCCATAGGACACCTCAGTCAGTAGTCTGCCTGAGGGACTCCCAGGGCTACTTTCACCCTGAGGACCCAAAATCCAGCGCATTGCCCAGCCTTAGGATGCCAGCATGGGTTACACACACATATATTTTTCCTTTTCCTCCAGGCCAGGGGAAAACAGAGGAACTGTGACTGGGGGAAGCAGGGGAACTATGACTCATGGGGATAGCTGCAGGGGAGCTCCCCACTTGCTGCTGCCACGCTCCCACCACCAACAGTGCCAACACCAGCAGGAGCTAACCATTTCCCCGCGGCTTCCGGGGGCATGAGGTGTTCATGCTTAATCCCGGTGATGGGCCAGACTCCAAACACGTTATACAAGGGCCAAGGGAGAGGGGACCTGGCTGTAAAGATCCTCATGAGCAATCCCTCCGTGGCCTGTCATATAGCATCTCAGATTGCC